CAAATCTAAAAAATAATACTATAAATGATATACATAATATATATATATATAATGTATAATGTATAATTATATATACGAATATATTTACATAATATATACAATATATAAAATATACAATACAATACATATATATATAATATAGGTATAAGAACTATATACAGTTAAGAACGCTCGTCTCGTCCCGAATGTACCCAGATGCCAGGGATGACAGCATCGAATTTTCACTATGGCTTGCCGAAAAAGCTCTCAGAAGGCTTAGCAGAATGTCGCAAGAGAAGCATGAAAAAGAAGCAAAGAATCATCAAGTCCCACCTTCCAGGTGAGGGTTGTTAGATTTTATCACAGCTGTCAACTCTGCTCCCTCCTCCTCCTCCTCCCCTCGCTGCGAGCTCCAGAGTGCAATCGCACCCGAACCGCGAGCTCAAGATCACAGTGGGCACTGGAGGAGGAGGAGGAGGAGGAGGAGGAGCAGATAGAATTCCAGAAAGAACGCCCAAAGGTATGCCAAGCAGATTTCCAGAAAGAATGTCAGAATATATTCCAGATAGAATTTCAGTATCAATGCCAGATAGCATGCCATAATACATGCCAGACAGCATGCCACAATACATGCCAGATAGACTGCCAGAGTTCATGCCAAGTAGAAGCAGAATGACAGAATGCCAGACGATATGCCAGATAGAATGCCAGAATATATATGCCAGATAGGATGCCCGAATATGTTCCAGAAAGAACGCCAGAAGATATGTCAGACAGATTGCCAGGAAGAATGTCGTAATGCCAGACAGAATTCCAGAATACATTTGAGGTAGAATGCAGGAATATATGCCAGATAGAATGCCAGTATATATGCAAGATACACACTTTCTTGGTGTCATTGTGGGGATCACTCGAAATATGTCTTTTTGCTTTTGGTATGCCAAATCCCTGGCCCAGCCTGAGCAACACTTAATGAAGATTACTTGGTTTTAGAGGCGTTTGAGTACCAAATGCACTGCTTTGTTTTTGCAAAAGTTTTGGCACATGCATCATCTCCCAACAGCACCTGTTCTGTTTTCCCTTAGGACTCCTTTAAAGCGGCCTCACTAGAGTGGCCCTTGCCGGAGGGCACGGTGTGTGCTGTTTGTCGTGAGCGCCCAGGTTGCACTTCCCGTGTTTGATGCGGTGCGCCGGGAGAGTGGTTGGGTGTTGTGCTTGGAATTTGGCCTCGGCAACATTGGTAGTTGCAGGGAGCAATGACAATACCATGTTTCAAAAGGTCTATGCTGTAATCGGAGTAGTAGACTTAGTCATGGACACCACAGAATCAGTCTCACACGATGAATTGTATAGCTTCTTGCTCAAAGACCAGTGTTCAAAAGCCGCAGGCCTGCTTGGACTTTTCTCCGTTGTTGCAGGGCAATCTTCAGTCAGGCACGAAAGGGTTGAGGCGCTAACCTCTGGATGGAGCACCAGGTACGTACATATAACCGCTCATAAATATGACCACCTCTTGCTAGGCTTTCCATGGACCACCATACCAGGTGAATGGTGAATGGATCTCTGTAGAATGGGGACCATTTACATCTACAAAACCCATTCAAGGAGTCAAGGACCCATAGTTTTGCCTTTTTCAGTCGGATCGGCCAGGCGCCCCACTCTCCGCCAATTCACACATCGCTGTCGCTTTGCCGGTGTGCGAGATAAGCAGCATCGGATTGACACCATTGGCCCGGTCCCCAGACCAAAGGACAGACCGCACAGCTGAGTATCTCAATTCGATCTCCAAGCCACTTTGATGGATACATTGCTGGCTGTTGATAGGAGCATATATGTGATTATTGTGTGTTTGTGCAAGGATTATACTCATGCCCCATTTTCCTCCTTTTCTACCTGGTTCCAGTTGCTTCAATGTGGTCCGTCGCAGCATGAAAAGATAGTAGAGCATTGCCGCAAGTGAGGCTAGCTGCCAGACACTACTAGTCTTCTATCGATTTCAGTGTCTGACGTGGAGATGCTGAGGTGCATAGTTTTGTTTGCCTTGGCTTTTCTCCCCTGGTGCTGGGCAGCTGCCGTTCGGCGCCAATCTTGTCCGCCGTGGATGCTGTGCATCTGGGCTTGTCTTCATTTTCGCAAGGGCGTGCCCAGGCGAGGATGTCAATCTTAAGCAAGAATGCTACTAGTAGTAATGCCCTTGTTACTAGTAGCGATGCCAGGAGCCCCTAGCATCCTTGCTCCTAGTAGTAAGGCCAGGAGCCCCTAGTAGCTTGTTGCTACTTCATCCAGTCTTGCAGCATGTTTGCATTCTAGAGACTCAAAATCCTTGACGGAGCTTCAAATTTAGAAATGGTGACTTTGGTGTCAGGCAGAGAAAGCTTCATTGACTGTGGGCTTTTCGAACCTGGGGCCCTTGCCATTTTTGCAAAGCTTGGCTCGTTCAGGACAGCTGAGGGGTTTCTCTAAACGCCGCAGAGATATCACACATGGAGGAGTGTTGATCGTATTGATTTTTGGAGGTGAATCTTGCAAACTGCTTTGACAGTTTGGCCTCAAGCAAGTTTCGTCAGGCTTCTCCGCCCTGCTATTTGGTGGAGCAAGATTTGGCTCATTGCTTCCTGTTCTGGACCTTCTAATGCTGGGCTCCACTTTGTTGACCAGAGGTCCCAACCTTACAGCTTCATGTGATTCTCACACCCAGCGCCGAAAAGAGCGCCTGAGCTGAAAAGACCGCCCTCTCAGGCTGTACTTGATCGGACAGTGGTCTATCAGTGCAAGACGAAGCCCAAATTGGAGCAGTGAGTGTCTGCGGCCTTGCCAAGTTCACGTGCCCCAAGACACGTTTTGTGACACGCGTCGCTGTGACCGACACTGTCACTCGGTTTCCACACGCGTGGACCACAAGCCAGGAGCACCGTCTCGGTCCAAGAGGTGATCCGTTTGGGCAAGGAAACGACGTACATCAAAACGGACTGGCAAGTGGGCTACGATGGTGGCTTCGGCTACGTGTCCGAAAGCCCAGCCATGTCCGGTGGTGCCGGTGGTGCCGCACGTATGGCACGTATGTGGGCCAACAGACCATTCCTTTGTGTGATGAGCTTCCTTGTTTAGGTGTGCCTATTTGATGTTGAGCTTGCCTGATGTTCCAAAATAGAACATTGGATGATCCAATTGTAACGTGTTTGGTTTCAAGCAGCGACAGGTCAGAGACTTACTGTAAGTAGTAAGTACCTTTTACTGCACTCATGAAAGGATGGATTAGTTCCCTGTGGATGCTGGATGTGTATCAATTTGATTCAATTTGGTTCATTTCAGTGAGGGGGCAGAAAGAGGACAATTCTTTCTGAGGTTCGACACCGTAGAAGTTTGGGCTGGCACCAGCAATGGTGCGCCGCTGCGTCCCGCTGCGCCCCGCTGCGCCCCGCTGCGTCGTAGAAGTTGGAGATGTCGTGGGTTCCTGTTGATGGCTTCGGGGCAGCCAATCATTGTCATGCATGCCGCATGCCATGTCGAGTGGTCTTTGCTTTTGAATCCATTTCAGAAGCCGCAGCCTCTAGCTGTTATATATATATATATGTTCTTAGTTGAATCAGATGCATTCACTGGTGACCAAGTTGACCAGTTGTCCCTGTGCAGATCCAACTCCCAAGAGGGGGATCGGCACGTGGGGCAATGGTGGCCACCTGCATGGCCGAACACTCGGATCTGGATTGGGCAGAAGACATCAGACAGCTTCTCAGCGTCGTCGAAAAACCTCTTTTCCTTCATCTGAATCAAAAACTCTGAGGCACTTGGACGGCAGACAATGCATCTTAGCTGCACTGCCCTTTTGCGTGAGGGATCGCTTGATCACACACTTTGCACACATTGCGTGCAGTGTTCTGTTCCGCGTTGTTGATCGTTCAGTTAAGGCTTTGTTGATCGTGCAAATTCACCACCGAACGGATTGACGTCCGCAAGCTCGGAACATAGGCGGTCTCCACGTCTGACCGGCGCCTCAAGAAGTCCATCATCCCATTGTGCGCCGACGGTTTGTACGTTTCGTGCAGGGCTGGTTTTCAGACGTGTTTAGGTACTGCCACGTACGGAATGAAAGGGAATACGAAGACGCAGTAGTCTTGCTCCTAATAGCTTCTAGCTACTAGTAGTGATGGCCTCCAACCTAATAGCTTCTAGCTACTGAGGGAGGGTTTGTCTTAATCTTAATGGATTTGCCAGGTACGAGGCGATGAAAGGACAGGGCCAGTCAGAGGAGGCTGGACACTTACTGTAGATCTTGAGACCCAGCCCAGCCATGTCACAATATCTACTGTCTGAAAGCTTGCATGTTTTTTTTCAGAGAATCGATTGAGATATTTAGAACGATATTTTTTTCTGATCGAACGATACACTTCGTGTTCGATGCTCTGAGGCTGAGGGCGTGAGCTGGGTCTTGCGTCAGCTGCGGCCTGTTTCTTTCAAGCTTCGAGCTCAGAGTCGAGCTTGCGAACCTGTCGTCGTGGATGGGGGATACATATATATATATAATACTGTAGGATACGCAGAGCCTGGTAATTAGGAGCGGCTTCTCCTCCCATTTGGTATTTGACGTCTCCCAGCCAGATCAGCCAGACAATTTCTTTTGAAGCTGACAGCGCGATGGACAGCAGTCTCCTTTGCTTCGAAGATTCCTCAAGCAGAGCAAGCCAATCCTTGGCGCCTTTGCCTGATTTGGCCTTTGAGGTTCAAGAATGGGCCAGAGGCAAAATACAGCAGATACGGCTTCATCGTGGTGCTGGCGAGTTTTCTTGATCCATCGTTGGCGGCAGGACACTAGCCGATTCGCAACTGTCGACTCCGTGGGAGCCAATCCACGAGCCGATTCGCAACATGAGCTCCAACACTAGTGGATTTCACAAAAGGGAACAAGAAACATCAAGGAAACAGCATTTCCGATACCAACAACTGGGGCTTTCGAGTCGGGTGCAAGAGCCAGAGACCTCCGAACGCCAGGCGCAAGAGCTGCAAGAGGTGCTGCCATCGGTGGTCCGTTCCGTGCAGACCGATGGAAGAGAGCATTTGGCGGTGGCCTACCAGGATGGCGGGTGAGATGCCACAGGTTTTGACGAGTTGTCACCTGAACAAGATCCAGCCTTTATTTGAGACAAAGTAGTGCAGATTGCTGGAGAAGACATGCCAGATGATAGAAGTAGGATTTCCATGGATTTCCAATATCTAGCGATGCTTGTGGAGCTACGCCCACTGGCTTCCTTGTCTCAGCTCAGCTGTGTTATACAGATCTAATATGATCTAATAAAGTTTATACCTCAGGAGCTGCTGTCGGATAGGGAACAGTACAGGAGTGAATTGGGTGCGAGAATGCGAATGCCGTGCAGGACCTGATTGCGCTGCTCACTTCAGCTGCGCAGATATTGCAAGAAAAGGTCAGCAAGCAAGAGGACAAGATCACCAGGTGCGAGACCGACTCAGCAACAAGTATCAACAAGTAAACAAACTTAACAATGAGCAATTCCAGCAAATCGCTTGCAGCCTTGCCGCCTGATCCTGCCACCAAATCATTTGCCACACTGAGTGCTTGGGAGGCTGGAGGACCAACTTGCAGCTCTCAACAAGAAACTGGTTCGGTGGCCAAGGGGAGCTCCTGCTTGCAACTTCGTGCACTCTTGTTCGCAGTATATCAAGATAGACATTCCCCGGAACTTCTTGACCCAGTGAAACAATCAACCTCAGACCACGGCTTTGGATCTTTTTGGGGAGAAATGATAGTGAGTAACGGCTTGTAAGTTATTGTGATGTGAACATCATTCCCCAGATTGCGAAGCTATGGGGTTCTGACTTCAAATAACAATGAGCTGCCTGTGCGCGCTTTCGAGACAGGTTGCCGGTGCTGGTGCTGTGAGCTGGCTGTGCGCGTGGTGGAGACAGGGTGCCGGGTGCCGGTGCTGTTGCTGTGAGCTGGCTGTGCACGTGGTGGAGACATGGTGCCGGTGCTGGGCCGGGTGCCGGGTGCCGGTGCTGGTGCTGGTTCTGTGAGCTGGCTGTGCACGTGGTGGAGACAGTGCGCGCGGTGGAGACAGGGTGCCGTCGCTGGGTGCTGGCTGTGCACGTGGTGCAGAAAGGGTGCCGGGTGCTGGTGCTGGCTGTGCGAATAGTGGAAACAGACAAAGGGTGCCGGTTGCTGGTGCTGGCTGTGCGCATGGTGGAGACAGGTGGTGCTGGCTGTGCGCGTGGTGGGGACAGTGTTTGGAAAGCTGGCGTGTTACACGGCAGTTGACTCTTGGAGCCAACATGGTTGCGCACGCTCTCATTCCAAAGCTGTGGATGTGATTGATGGAGTTTTGCGTGAACATCTTTCTTTAGAGTGAGTTTGACAGAGTGTTGTTTTGGAAACGGATGTCGAAGGTATGCCGCTAATTGAAAATGTCATGCTGGCTGGGAAGCCAGTGCTGTTGGTGGTGGGCAGGCTTTTAGGTGTTCAGGCTGCAGTCCAGAAAGATCTTTTGCTATCTGGGGTCTATGCTGGTGTATTTTTTCCATATGTTTGTAAGAGCGCGATTCAGGTTCAAAATGTGGACACATTGATTCCTATGAATGGTCATTGAGCCGTTCATGAGGCAGACAGGGACACATGTGCGGGAAAAAAACCCACCAACCGCAATGCATGACAATTCCTGACCTTTTCCCTTTTTCCTGCTGCTTTTGAAGTGCATTGTTGGAAAGAGACTTGGAGACTCGCCGCAGAAACTTCTCTCCGCTGTTTCTCCTAAGGACTTGCTCCTGGAGACTCGCACTCAGGACGGTCAAGACTGGAGCCGCCAGGGAAAGATTCATGTGGACCCTGGCTTGGAGAGTCAGGGCAAGAACCAACATGAACCAACCACGTAACCAGCAATATTTTTCTGTGCTGTCCTTTTCTTTTATAGGTGTTGAACAAATTGTCATACATGTTCCATTTCTTCATTTCTTGACACTTTTGTGCTACAGGTGTGCTTCTTGACCACTGACCACTTGAATCTGTACATTGTAAACGGTTGATTAGGCACAGCGAGCTTGCTCGAGGGGATGCCCTCCGCCAGGAGTTCTTGGCGTGATGCCCGACCAGGTCTCCTCCAAAGCGGCTTGCCACAGGAGAAGCGGAGAAGCGGAGAAGAGAGGGCACAGCTCCAAATCAAACTTGAGTTATTTGGTTGCCCTTTTCGAGTAGATTTTGCACACACATATATATATAATATAACAATATAATATAATATAATATAATATAATATAACAATATATAACATAATATAGTATAATATAATATACATTTAGTGGATTTCGTGCCTACCCGGCCTACCTTCCCTTGTGGAGCAAAGGGCAGGCCTCTCGTTCGTTGCCAGGAACGTGGTGGGAAGAACTGTGAGGTTGCACAGGATATCCCATCCAGAATGAGGATATCCCGCTAGCGGTGGAATTGAAAGAAGAGACAGGAACAGCGAAGCCTGCAACAAAGCATAGCAAAGCTGAATTGAGCAAAAACTGAATCGAACAAAGCAACAATTCCAAGAAGCCATGGCTGACTTTGATCATTGCAAACCACAGGCGTTTCACACATTAGCAACATTCCATTGCTGCGGGGCCTCGATGAATGCTCCGGTGCTGGCAAAATCTCTAAAAGAAGCAACACCTAGCAGCCTAGCAAAACCATGAGCTGATTATAAATTCATGTTATATAGATAATGATATATTGTTGAGTGAAGACCTACTTGTGCTTGCCAACCCTTGAGCCTCCAAGCCAGAACCAAACTTCTCAGACAGGCAACGCTTCAAAAGCTGACATTGCCCACCAGCTTATCTGATTATCTTGAAGCATCGCCTGCAAAAATGGGCGATGGCATGAGCGCCGCTGCGTGGGACGTTGGTAGAGCTTCCGAATTGGCATCTTCTGCTCACTCAACTGGCTCAACGGCGTAGATTCCAAGTCGTGGCTCGGCTGGGTTTACTTGCTGCGCCAAGGTAGGCACGGATTTTCCGCAGGTTGTGGCTCAGGAGGTCGCATTGTACATGGTGTTTTACATCAATGAGCACAGGACATCAGTCGTTTGGCTTGACTTTCCTGGAACATGTCACTTGGAGGTTTGTATTTCTTGCAACGCACAGGTGTGCAGAAAGTCTTGGAAAGCCGCCATGGAGATGCCGAGCGCCCTAAGATTGTCTGCAATTTCTGCAGGCAGGACTGACAGCAAGATCTGGCATGCTCACAACTCACAACTCATAACCACAGCGTGCCTGTATGGGGAATCATAGTTTGTAGTTCTTGGGCAGGTAAGGCGTCAAAGTGCACGATGAAGAAATCAAAATTGCAGGAGGATTATTTTAATAAGGGCACCTCTATATAAGCAGGAATGCACGCCGAGCTCTTGTCCCAGGTTTGATACATCACCACAGGGGCCACATATTCTTCTGATTCTCATAGGATGCTACAGGGAGGAGAGCAAAAGGAAGGTAGCAAAATGGACGATCTCAATGCAGGTTCATCGAGTAGAATCGAGGAGCCTAGAGCAAATTCGAGTGAGATTGAGAAGGGTGTAGATGGACGCACCGAGTAAAATTGAGAAGCACTGACTGCACACATCCTTTGCCTTTTCTCTGCTCGGTTTTCGAGTTCGGTATTGTGGTGAAACTGCTTGACTCACTCCTTTCAAACTTACCGACCTTTCTGTTACCGACCTTTCTGTGCAAGAAGTGGTGTACACATGTGTACACAGTGTACATGTTCAACTTGTTATTGATTTCTTCCAACACTCACTTTGATCTTCGTTGCTTCGGCAGCGCCACTTCCTATTCCGTCGTGTGACGACCATGGACCCTTCGGGCCAATGGCATCGTAAACTGGTGCTTTCTTTCCCCGACCTCGAGCTTGGAGTACTGGCTGGTTGAAAAATGATGTGACTATCAGAACGCAAGAACACAGGATAAAAGCCTGTGCGGTGCTAAGATATAATGATTGATTGTGAACTCGGGTAGCTTGGAGGGAGCACAAGCATGTTTTGGCAAATCTCTTCATTTTGTCCAGTACAGTATAAGTGATGAGCGGTGACTGCGGAATTGGCTCAGAACCAAATGAAGATGAAGTCCTTTTCACGTGCATGATTGTTTCAACGTGTTTGGATGGGCTCAGATTGCAGTCCAATAAATGGGAGGTCAAAGACGGATCCTTTGCCAGTCAGAAATGCTGCAAGCCGCGCAGTTTGGGGACTTCGTCCATTAGTTTATCTAACTTCAAGATGTTCGGAACACTGAGAGCAAAGCTGCACACATCAAACTTGGACAATCGACGCTGTGCTTGCGGAATTTGTGCACGTAACCAACTCCCACCTGTGGAATTGGGCTAATTTGAACGCATGGGCTACGTCTGCCTGGCCAGATGTTTGAGAGATTGATACTTCCCGGCACCTGCTTGAAATCGTTCGTCGGACGTCGCGTTTTCACAGAAACACCGTTGAAGGAAAAAAATCTGCCAGGCTCCCAACCCACTATCAGTCAGATCTGCTGGCTGGGAAGATGACATTGGAATGCCTTGACCCTAGGGAGCCTTGAAGCTGGCGCAAGCATTCGTATTGGATTTGTTTTGGTTCCGAAGTTGCAAACGAGAAGAAAAGCTTCAAGCAAGTAACTAGGTGCCGGTAGTATCGACTTGTACCTGTCTTTCAAGGAGAAATGAAATGGAGGATGGCTGGATTTTCATTGACTGCTACAGTGTGGCATCCCAGTGCAGAGAGATCCAGCAGGCCCTCAGCGGCCTCGAAGCGGCCTCGATGCAGATGAGGTCTTTGCGTAGGCCAGGTGTCCCATCTTGTCACATAAGGAAACTCAAATTGCGAGGACATCGACTCATTGTGTTTACCGCGTTTTCTTGCCGTTGTAGACTCCTCGTGGCGACCTGCATCACCCTTTGGGTCGCTAAGGTGGGCATCCCAACTGCTGCTACTTTGCAATTTACGATGGAAGCTGCCCCAGCGCTTTCAGTGGAGATCCACGGTTACTTTTTTCTCAACTGCAAGGCCGCAAGACCACAAGGCTCACGCAAGGCCCATGCA